CTCATGAGCGCCTGTAGAAAACAAACCGACTCATCCTTAGCCATGCACCTCGCCGACACTGGCCACGCCACCAACTTGGCTGATTTATTCAAAGTGATCTATAAGGTACCGGCTAATCGATAAAAGCGCGTTTAGAAGCGTTTGCGTAAATTCGTGGAGGTCCTCGCGATTCGATTGTACCAGCCGGAGTTGTGTGTTAAGAAACGGCTCGTTCACACGTTAAAACTGCCTTGGCCCACCTGAACTGCGACATCCGGCTCACGAAATGGTGTGACCTAACATATAGTGATTGAGCTTGATCAGTTAATGCGAAATGAATGTGTCTTACCAACCTTGTTGTTGTGTCTATTTTGTTTCCTTCCCACATCTAATTGAATATACCTGAAGAGGAATTATTAAAAATATATTTTCACTTGCATTGATTTTTAACCTTAAGAAGAATTCAACATATTGGGGATAACGAAGACTGCTAGACCACACACTTTATCGCCAATCGTTGCAAAGGAATGGGCGTATTCTCTCACAGTACTCTTAACTATTCTCTCCAACCGCTGTTATATAAAAGGTACCATCCAAGATATTTGGAGACCTGTAAGGATAATGCCTGTGCTCAAAAATTCTCAAAGCTATCTTTCGGTTAGTTATATTTTGTTGATGTTGAAAGTCTTCCAGAAACTATTTGTCCCTAAGTTTCTCAATTTAACCAGACAGACAATGAATATCGGCTTGCCTATAAACAAAACAGCTCTACACTGGACGTTATGACGTATCTTGTAGATACGGTATCATCTGCACAAAAAGTTAAACGCAGAACGTCGCGTTTGCTGTTGCCTGATTATGCTGATGCCTTTGGTAGTGTCAACAGATCAAGTGTACTCATCTAACTGCTCAAGAGTAGGGTTTATACTAATGTCTGCACAGTAGTAAGTGGCTACTTTACAAAATGTACTCCTTCAAGCAGCTATAGGAAACAAAATCCTATACACTTGGCTCCGATCACTGGTTTTGCTAAGAGTAAGTATCTCTTCATTTCTGTATAATTTATTTATCAACATAATTCCGATACCTCCCCATGTTATCGTGTGAAAATATACAGAAGATGTCGTTATGGTATTTATAGCTCACAACGTTATATATCTACTCTTCAGAATTGTCTAGATGAATTTGTGCTGTGGTTATCTTCCCCGTCTCCAAATATGGACATTGTGTATGTTGGCATGTAACCTCTGTTCTCCGGGCTGACAAACTACAACCTGTTTTGAATGTCAATTTTACACTGACCATGAACGATCAACTCAAATCCTGGGTATCAACTTTCATATATCTATGAGACTTTTTATACAAATCATGTTCGGTCTAATCATGTGAACGAAACATCGCATAAGGTTATGCCTTTAGACAAAATGCTTTCGGTACCACACAGATTAATTCTTTAAGCCTTGACTGTATGCAATCTAGCGCACGCTCCACTGTTTCTCGGTAATTTTTCCCAAAATACTAAAAAATACGACAGGTTGTTTGTATCATCCTTAAAAGTTATTCAGATGCGGCGGACAGTTTAAAGATTGGCTGTTGTTGGGTTTAACGTGAACAACCATGGAGACTCTTGCACTAGTATTTCCTTCAAAGTTCTAAACGACCCAGTCCACCCACTATACGATGCTCTAACGAAAACGACATTTGTTTCTTCTACACCCACTAAATTCAGTATTTTATTCTCTTGTACTGTATCGTATCACAATGCCATTCTAGTATACTTGTCACGACTGATTGTTGACTCAACGAAACTCCTAGGTTTGATGTGCAGTGGTCTGTTTGATTCACACCCGAACACATTTTGTGACAGACATAGTTACTTTTCTCCACCAGTTTGATGTATTTCTCGATTCGCAGTGGTATAATAAAATACCAAAAATGGATGCACCCAGGTGCACGTATCGCAAATTAACTTGACTAACTTAGACAGCTTGGTATATGTCTTGTTGCTGATCAATTCCCTTTCCTGAATTTACATTGCCACTGCGATATAGAAGCAAATGTTGGTAGCTCAGGTTGTTCAGTTGGTTATCTGATTGTTCGCTGAGCTCGGCAGGTTGACTGCCACTTTAATTACACCGGGAAGAAGAGCGCTGCGTAATGTTTATTAGTCGGCTTGTTTGCGCATGTGCAGAAACTGAGCACTCGGGTTTCCCGTCCGCTAAAGCGATCGTCGGGTATGTTCCGTTCTGTCATTGTGGTAAAGTATTCAAATTGCATCAACAGAGGAAACACCGTGACGGCTTATGTATATATGTATGTACGTAATCTCAGCCTTTTAGCAGCTAGACACAGAGCCAACAAAATAAACCATGGACATCAACGGTCAAGGGACAGTCATTGCGTCGAAATCACGGTGCCATAGTAGTTGAAGGTGAGCAACACACTTCAGCTATTATGCCGCAGGAAGAAAGGACCATTTTGCTACAAAGAAAACAAATCATTTTTACCTTGTTTTTCACATGCAGAGTTTTTTCATTTTTGTCAGTTTCAATGTTTAAAGCATTAAACGTGTGAATTAATACGATACTCTACACAATTCTTCCATTAATTCCGGTTGCGGTCCATGTGTCCAAGAGTGTTAAGTCATTAGCACTTCTCATCTTTGGGTCCCCATCCTGGAAGACGTACGGATCCAACAGCGACTAGACATGACGTCAGAGGTTTCATTTGCTGTCGCAATGTGGAAGGCTGACCATCATGCGATCGCATCCAGCCAAGTCCTTGACGAGCGAAAAGAGCGCGGCGCAGTAGACGCTCAAGTGCCATGAGTAGGAGGTGACCAGACCATCTCAACTGGCGCAGCAAAAGCAGTTTTTTGCAGGGAATACTTGCATTTCCCAAGATGCGATGTCAAAAATCCACGTGACGGCTTAGTTCATCTAACATTTTACGAACGGTACTGAACTGTTGTTAATCACCTCTATCCATGTGAAAGTCAAGAGGAACGCCTCATATTGTCGCGACCTTCGAGAAAGGAGTATCCAAATGATGCTTGGCAAACTTTTGTTGCCACACTTATCCTACATTCGATTGTAGTCATTTGTGCGCACAGAAAACAAAGCTCGTTATTAACCTTTAGCGCAGCGTGCTTTGCTCAATTATTGCGCATACTGATTAGGTGAGGTGAAGTGTAAGTTTCAACTACGAAGTTTTCATCTTGGTTTGGCCTCTTCATTCGGATATAGTCGGAGATTGGAGCAGAATGCAAGATGTATATGAATGATTATCACTTCATTCGTTATACCAAGAATTGTTTGTGGAACTCATGAAATTATTGGTTACGGTGCCAACCGTTATCCACAACGTCCTGTGCTGCATTTTCAGCTGCGAATATATCTACCTGAAGCCTGGGAGTCGTCCGTCATGTTGGTTTATAAGTGGTCCAATTGAGCAGACAGAAGGATGTTTGAAACCAACGATGGGATTAACTTTAAATACACCTTGCATCTAAACAATGCGATATCATTGTTGGATTTTGTTAAATGCAACATTCTATTTGGCATTCCGGTCCTTTACTTGATAAGCAATGATGCCACGCTATAAAGCGATTCCTTTTGCTCGTAATTTGGTTTAAAACTGTTGGGAATCTTACAGCTCCTCCACTCTTCACTATCATGGTTAATGTAGTATCACATATTTCCAGGCAGCCAGAATAGTTGTAAAAATGTATGCGGTGTAAGCTTTTGATCACGTCACACTCTTTGACGAAAGTAAACCACATTACATTGCTGCTCTAACGCTATGTTTACCTAACCTTATTTGTATTTGCAAGACCCAAGTCTGGATGCATTATACGCCCTACAATATTTCTCTCCGATGCTGGCATAACTACATGTGTAGCGTGCATATTTACTGCTATCAAGGCCTCTTATAAAATGGCCTTCAATATAATTGTATGGTGACGTAATGAATGTTAGAAAATTAGCTACCACTGTGTTGAACTTCCAACCTTTATTTGCTGTACGCCATCGTATAATCACAGTAACCTCATTAGTGTTTCGAGCAGTGGAAAAAGTTCACGGTAACACACAGTTCACTGTGAAACAATCACCCTACACGTTAGTGTGCTTTTGAGTTGCACGGAGCAACCAGTCGTAATTAGTAACTACAACGGTGCAGAATATATATTGTATATTTAATGGAAGAATCATTTGACGGGAAACTTTACACGTGATATTCGCAAAGTTTGGCGTAGCCGAAATAACCTATGTCCTAATATCGCACTAGGTTGCAATTTATTTTCACAGGGTACCAAATACATAAATAAGTTTATGCTAATCGAATTCCAGACGAACTTTGGAAGCTAATTACTCTGAATAAATTAGCTAGGGACTTTAAGATGATAAATTTTAATGTTCCTAGACAGAATACGTAAGGTTTACTGGCTGCTATCAGAGGAATTATCCTTCTGTCTGTGCAGCAGTAAAATAAAAGTCAGCGCAGGATAATTCGTTGTAACATCCAGTAACTGATTCTTGTCAGTCTGTTCTGTAGGTATGCAGATCATGACACCAACTACGGTTTACGCTTTTGGACCAGTTATAGCTGTTTGACTGAGCCTGGAATATAGTTGAGCTTGATGGGTCGCTGACATGATTTTGTGAAATAGAAAATGTCTTGCCTTAATAGGTCAGCCGAAAGTCAACCAGACACTATAGAGAAGAAAAAGGTCTGTTAGCTAAAATAGTAGAAAACGTTGCACTATTACATTTGGTTAATCTGTTGCAATATCGAAACTGCGGTCCCAGCTGTATTTCCTGGAAAAAGATTCATATATCTTGCTTCTGACACCCATGTGTACACACAGTAGCGTCATCAATAATATTTGTAAAAGTGTTTTACGTGTATCAATTATGTCTTTACAGTGCGTAACTAGTAAAATATGTACTTTTGGCTACGTGCGAATTTAAACAATGTTGTGGCTATTTTACTGAAGGAAAAAGCGGATGTTCACAGTTTACCTGCTGTGTTAGATGAGAGCGGAAGACCATGAAACCGACTCGTAATCCAACGCCTGTTGAAAGCGTGGCTTTTGATTATTTGAATACGGTCCAGTGGGTTGGTGCAAGGAGTGATCGTGAGCCAGAATGATCGGTTGGGTTGGACAAAGTACTGCAAGCTGTGCGGGATTTTTTGTGGATAGAAGGAACGACAATAGTTAGGTTATCAGTGAGGAATTCCTAGGTTGTTTGATCAACTGTATTGATTAAATATTTGTCGTTTACATGTTGAGTGTATATTAGAACCCACTAACTGAATGACGGCTAGAGAAATGTAAGAGTAGCATGTGGTAAAATTCAAAGAAATATAAGAAGGTGCTGGTTAAATAAGAAATGCCACTCATTTATCAAGTCCTCCAAGACATTTCTGTCAACAGAGGGAGCTACGTTAAGGTCAGTTCAGAGGAATAAGCTTGGTAACGTCCAATCACTAAGTATGCTAATCATATGTTGGCAAGAAAACATCCAAATACCAACTTGTGTGTACCTAAACAGACGTCAGTAAATGGATTTTTCTCATTAAACTATAGGGTAGACTAAAATAATTCTCACCTTCTGGTAATAATGTAAGTAAGGTCTTCGAGATTCGACCAATACCCCATCTTGTTACGCTTTCGTTTTACTTTATTTGTCTGTGTGAAACATACTTAGGACCTTTTGTCCAACTCATCAATATTCATTTAGCTCAGGCTCGATCCCATTTAGGGTTATGTATGATAAGGCACCCAGCTGGCCAAGAGCTTTTTACCAGTGCATTTTACATTAAGTGCACTCTCTAATTATAATTATTTATTTATTGATAATTTCATCCAACTGCCTTCGAAGTGTTTGTTTTTCAATCCAAGTCCCCAGATCTGTTAAGATCATAAGAATCGAAAACCTAGGGCTACGAAATCTTCGACCAAAAGCATAATATAAGATGTAACGATGGCCAGTCCGAACGCATCCAGGCTTGTCCACCATGCTTTATCCGAAACAAAATGGACTTTGAGAGGGTGTTACGGTGGGTTCTAGGTTAGCGCAGGGCCAGACGGAACCTAAACGCTTGCTTAGTTTGGAGATGTGCTCCAAACACAACCAAAGGATAGGAGGGGCTTGGTTCTCGCTTATGGTAGTTTAATGAGTAAAGCGGCCCCGAGTTGTCAGAGCCATGTAGTCCCACTAAATCACCTAATCCCCGCGGTCACCCATTGAAGCTGCATAAACCATGGTCTGATCGGATTAGGAGAGAAACTTGTTTGTAGCACCGATAGAGCGCTGCAATTTGCTTCCAGATCACGCGGTTAGGAAACCTACGGTTAAGCGTTTTGCGCGTCAGCTCGATGATTTCCGGTGGCAACACCAAAGCTTTCCTTTTTCCTAACTGACTCACCTTCAGTTTTCAGTTCTTTTTTAATGACTTAAATATCTTGGTATGCTACTTGCTTAGCTCTTTCCGTTTTCTCTTCTTGCCTTCTGCGTTTACTTTTTTCTCTTTCTTACTTAAGGTAACTGGCCCCGCAGGGACTGCTAGGACAGGATACGTGGGCATTAATTGCTTTGACAGGGTGTGGTGCCGTCTTTGTTTTAGGTCCATTTCTGTTTCAAAGTCCGCCAACTCCTGGTTCACCGACCCGCTGACGAAGTAACACCCACGGGACAATCCTATCGTTCCAGTCCGACTTGAACTTGAAGTTGTTATCAGTGGCGTGACTGGGTCGAACTCTCAGAAGTTATCAATCAGACGATAAGTGACAGTCATCAAATAAGGAGAAACGGTAAAGTACTTTGACTTGCATAATCAGGATGTACCCGTTATTCGGTCGTGACTGAAAGCATTGTCCGGATTTCAGAAAGTACTAGCGGGAACATTTCACAACATTATGGGAGATTTGTACGTGCTCTTAATCTGCACAATAGATTGAAAAATTCCGGTAACGTAAAGTTTTGTTTGGTTCATCGAGCTGAGTAATTTATTGGCAAAGGTTTCACTAGTTCAGTCAGTGGCATCATCAATGAGATGATCCTCTACGCAGCCATGCACTGAAGATGCCACTGAGCAAAGTGGTGAAACGCTTGCCATTAAATTACTCAGCTCAATGCACCAATCAAAACCCTAACTACCAACCCGATCTACAGGCCTTCCGGTAATGTAAGTTTAAATTGTTGTATTTTGCACGCACGAAACAGTGCACTTTACGAACAACTTCCTACTCGTTTGCAGCCAGCAGGTAGGAATTATAATTAGTTCGACCCCAGTTGGAGGCCGCTACCCTTGTGCTACGGATTCGAGGCGGGTAACACTTGTCACAACGGATGCTTACTGACTGAAAGGGTTACTTCGAAACACTCGTTGTGTAAATAGATTGTGTCGCACCATCTCAATGTGTACCCCGATTACCAGAGCATGCAAACTTAAAGCAATTCGAGCACTGTGAATGTATGATAAGCAGAGCAACATTGAGTACTGCCTACCCGGAACAGTGCACGGTGAAAAGATCTTCGCCCAACGACTCATTGGTAAGCTTTTGTCGACACAGCGGAGGTCCCAATGTCGGGATGAAGTCTCGCTCTGTTTATTTGAGGACAGCCTGCTAGTACGAACCCGTTTTGGGTGTGCGGGGTCAAATATTTTTCTCCTACAAATACGGACGCAGTGACCAAACTAACGAACCGGCACTTTATCTAAATCGCCGCGGTAATTCATATTGCAAATAGCACTCCATTCAGCTAACACTATGTATGAGTAGGGTAAGGATTTTGAGTTGCTTTTTGATCTAGATTGCTGCGGTCGCCTATCAGTCAGGCGGGCTTCCACATGTCCAGTAAAGCGCCAGACAGCTTTTTAGTCCTTCTGGGTCTTGTTATTGGTGCGCGTTCCTCAGTTCCCCCTCCGGGTTCCGAACGCTTTCTTTCCAGATGCCAGCAGCCTGTGCTACTAAGTTATGTGTGAAGGTTGCGTAGCCGCATGTCAAAGTTGCTTCAATTAGTGGCTATTTCTGGAACGGCATAAAACGGCGGCGCGTTATACAATTTGCTGTTAATTGATCAAAAGTGACAGCACCGAGGAGGATTACGAAGTGCATAGTATAGAGAGTCAGATTTGTATTTCAGAACTAAACTTATGGTAAAGTGTAGTGTGTACGTACTAGAGACCATCAATTTTCATCTGCTTTGGCTAAAGTCCCAGTGCTCGCATTGACCAACTTGCACCAATGTGTATCGCAATCTACATTGAACTTGCGTGTCGCAATACATTCACACAACGTGTAGTAAAAAGTAAGCTTTTAAGTAGTCATTACCTGTTGTGCCAAGCATTGGCAGTCGTGACCAAGTGACTTAAGGGTAGCTCACACCCCATTGCTCCTGGGTTCGGTACGTGCTATCTCTCACTGATGCGATGAAATGACATCAAAACCCGTTATAGGAGTGCAGCTCGTTCTGGCGCGCAATAACCACTAGCTGCCTGTCACTTACTGTCCCAATGATCGATTTGTCAAGGTGCACTTCAACGTGAATCGCCGTCAACCTTTAGATTGTACGGTGCAAGCCATTTACTTGAGGAGTAATTTAAGATAACATACCAAACAACCAAATTATTCGTTCATGCAACACCAACTCTGAATTATTACCTTGATGCAAGAATTGGAAGTTCCACACTTTGAAACTCAGCCGAACCTCTATTTTCCATTGAAAAGCAAAATGTTTAAAAACTTAAAGCATAATCCATAACTACCAAATCAATGACCTTTTTTGGAGCTAATTTGTAATGAGTCTCCTTCATATTACAAACTTACCAAATGAGCATCCTGTTTAATTTCATAGAGCGCATATGAGAGCAGAAAAGTGGCTTGCAAGATAATGACTCCTATTTTGATATACTTGGAAATGCATATGGTTATCTTAGATCTAAAATAATATTAAGTCAGGCTAGCCTTTTAGGTCCACTCTGGATTACAAAAATACTCGTGGCGACCAAGAGTATTGCCAACTAACATCTGTTTACCTACGTATTCCAATCCTGGGTTGAGTGCATCGCCACACTCCGATTGAAATTATCGTGTTTTCGGCTTTCGGCTAAACAGGTTATCAACGGTTGTCACAACTATTCAGCAAATAATTACAGGGAAATAATGCCAGCAGCTACCTGTGTGTAGCCAGCCCAATAAGCTGTGCATTTAACTTGACTGAACGACGCAAGTTATATCCCCTGGATAGACGTTCATCCCAAATGCCAAAAGACCGATACCGGTGCGTTGCAACCAATGATATTTCTTTTTCTCTCTTGACAAAAATAACGTTTCCTTAAGAACAGGTGTTCTTATTAAATTTGTGCAGTTCGATGGCGAACTGTCTGGTAGAGTTAAACGTGTAATTTGCAAAGCTAAAACGTGAGCTCGTACAAAACCCTACTAAGTGAACTTATACAAAAGCAGATTAACACAAGCAAATTATCCCCTTAAAAGAGTATGCGTGCAAAAGGGTCTATATTCATGCTACGTCATTCCATAGAAAACCGTTGCTAAGAGAGCTGAAATCCGACATTCAGGCCTCAATTAGGAATGAGTCTGTGAGTTTAGTTCTTCCAGTAATAATTCAACAAGGAAACTTTACGAACACATAGATCCTATTAGCTAACTTAAGCTACCCATATGCCCGGCAAACATAATGAGAGGTAGGTACAACAAGCGTAGCAAGACAAGTTTAAGTCAAAAATTGTTAGATGAATTTTTTTGAACTTATTTACTGGTTGCGCTTCATTACGAGTCAATCGAGCTTACCAAATCTGTGTACTCCTTGGACATGTCTCAATATACCGCTTGCGCGATGTTACGACTTCAACAAATTGTACTAAAGTTGTATTATGACTACTTTTTAAAACGAGAACTGTTTCAAACTTATGGTGCGGAATATTGTCTACGTACTGTAGCGCAATTCGATTAACTTGCACAGCTAAGTATCAAGCCTACATGATAAACTCGATAACCAGTTTATACCATACCTATATTGATAAAGTAGCAGACTCTTTGCAATACCGGTGTCTAGGTTTAACGCAGGGAATTTGCCATACTTTACATTTTTCATGGTAAACCACATGTTAACCCCTTTTGGTAAACTTGCAAAGTAGCGCAGAATAGTC